GTGGACGTACTGCCAGTTGTAAACTGACTGATAGTTTTCCTATTTAAAAAAAAAGAGAGAAGCAGGAAGTAATGCTGAAAAATTAATGAAGCACACCGTAAAATCCACAGCTGTTCAGAATTGTGATCAAAGCACTTCCGTTTTCTTCTTCCCTCCCACTCCTCTTTTCCTTTTGTGCCGTGACTTTTTAGAGTATGTGTTTTTTTTTAACTGAGCTGTAAACTTCACACTAAATATTTAGAGGGTGGTGCCGAATTGCCATTTATCCTAGAATGCATTGATTACAAAACTGTTATTTAAACCCTGAGGCTGCACAGTTCTCAGCTTGAGAGATGGTATGAATGGTATACAACCAGCCTGTCTGAAAAGAATTGAACTGTTTGTGTAACTGTGTTACACAACACAGGAATGGTGTTTTGTAAATCCAGCCAACACCATTGCATGAAGTTGGGGATCTAGGGGTCTCCATGAAGCTACAAGCTCTACATGAAAACTGGGCTTACCTACCCCGATTCCCTAGCCCAGGGGTAGGCAACCTTGGCTCTTTTATGACTTGTGGACTTCAACTCCCAGAATTCCTCAGCCGGCATGGCTCAGCTTGGAAGCCTCTCCCTTTCCCCTCAGCATGGCTGGCTCAGGAATTCTGGGAGTTGAAGTCCACTAGTCATAAAAGAGCCAAGGTTGCCTATCCCTGTCCTAAGTCCTCCTGTTCTAAGCGGTGAGCCTCCTAGACCAGGGGTAGGCAACCTTGGCTCTTTTATGACTGGTGGACTTCAACTCCCAGAATTCCTGAGCCAGCATGGCTCAGCTTGGAAACCTCTCCGTTTCCCCTCAGCATGGCTGGCTCAGGAATTCTGGGAGTTGAAGTCCACCAGTCATAAAAGAGCCAAGGTCGCCTACCCCTGGCCTAGCCCGTTACTAGGACTTCCTTTAACCATGGAGAGTCCACCGCTTGTTCCTTCAAATAAACCCACCTTCTTTTTGACGGACATCGCCCCGCGCAGGTGGATGGCCAGCTGGCGGATGTAAACGAAAGCCTGCTGGTAGGACACCGCGTGATCCAGAACGTACATCTCTATCAGCGTCCGTTGCATGAAGTTGATCAGGGGGAGAGCGTTAGGAGAGGTGAATCTCGAATTCTTGACGTAGGAAATGTACATTTGCTAATAAAGTGAAGAGAAAGACAAGCAAGAGAATTAGGGCGACGTTGACCGTGGTTCGCCAGTCACTAGCTTTGAGGGGGGCGACTACAGAAACCGAATTAATAAATCGTCTCATCCAACGAGGAACTGACTGAATTCGGCTACAGATAGTCCTCGATTTACAACAGTTTATGTTTAATGACCCAGCCTAAAAATGAATTTATGGTCTGTGGATTTTTTTTGTGGCCGTCTTACCTTAAGAACAGAAGGCAAATAAGCTTCCTGCTTATACCGGCAGATTTTGTTGAGTATCAAAAAAGCTAGAACTCTGACAACTTCATCGCCCGTGCTCCAGAGTCGAATCGTTTGCTTAATGAAAGAAGAAAAAATAAAGTTGTTTTCCGTTTTTTGTTGTGCTTTTAAAATGAGATCCCCTCTAGTGTTAGAAACTGAATTTTTCCCAAGTGCCGATCAAGGCAATGCCTCTAATGTCATGGTTCTGACAGATGAAAGTCTTCAAAGAACTTTGAGGCATTGTAGCATAGCATCTGCACTACATAGGCAAAGCCAAAATCTGAATTCCCCTCCCCATAGCACATAGTATCAAAGCACAATTCCCTCCTCTAATTAACAGTCATAAATCACATTCCCCAATTAGCTTGAAATGCAGGCTTTCCCTCCAGTTCTCCAACCCACCAATTCTTATCATCTCTTATTTCAATAACCTTGGTTCTCACACTAGGTTCAGTATTGTTATGTCTAGCTAAACTCCCATGCACATTCTTCCTCCTTCCCCCCTCCCCAGTATCCTCTAATTCTAACTCTTAATTCTAAGAGTAAAACATAAGAAGGAAAATGGCTGCATCTCCACATGTTGTCAAAGCAAGAACATCCGATGTTTGCAGCACTGACATCTAAATTTCAGCACTTTTTATGGCCTAAAACAGGGTTTCTCAATCTTAACAACTATAAGACGTGTGGACTTCAACTCCCAAAATTTCCCAGCAGGCACGCTGGGAGGTAAAGTTCATTACATCTTAAAGCATGCTGGCTGGGGGAATTCTGGGAGTTGAAGTCCACAAATCAAAGTGGCCGAGATTGAAAATACCGATCTAAACCTATACTGCTAATTTTAAATCCTAGAATTGTAAATCCTTGTCTACTGGTATTTTGTTCTTAATCCCACTCTTTGCCCGCTTTTTTGGTGTAGATATGCTTTTTTGAAAATTTATTATTTTTCTATAAAATGAGGAAAAAAAGAGAGCCAGTTTGGTGTAATGGTTAAGGTGCTGGTTCAGAAACTAGGAGACCGGGAATTCTAGTTCCACTGTAGGCGTGAAAGCCGACTAGGTGACTTTGGGCCCTCTCTCTAAGCACAACCCACTTCACAGGATTGCTGTTGTTGTGGGGAAAATAAGAGGAAGAAGATGTGTTGAATATGTTCATCGCCTTGAGTTATTGATTAAAATAATAAAGGTGGAGTAAAAATCTAATTAATAAAAAAAAAATAAGTCAAAAAAAGTTTGCCCTGGAACCCATTTTTTAGGACGGAAGCCAGGATAGTTGAGCCTGAGTAAATTTTAACAGGGGGAATCCAACTTTTAACTCTTATTCTTGGACCTTCTGGCCAGCCCTGCTATCCAACTTACCTTAAGTAGCACGCGACACTGTTTGGGAAAGCTCAAATAATAAGGCACGATGGCACTGATGTGCTGGAGTACAGCTGTTGTTACTGAGGTTTGGGTTAAACACGACAGAAGCTGCAGAGAGAGGGAAAAAAAGACAAAATTCCCCTCAATCTGGCTCAAAGACTGACCAATTTCAAATCTCCTATATTCCCTTCTGCCCCCATCTCAAAGGGGCTTTTTCAAGGACATTTCGAAAAAGCACTTTTGGGATAACTATGACCTGGAATGACTGAGAATCTCCATAGATATCTCTTCAACTCTGGCAGAAGTGATCTGTGGCCAGGGTCTTCAAACTTGGCCCTTTTAGGACTTGTGGACTTCAACGGGCTGAGGAATTCTGGGCGTTGAAGTCCACAAGTCCTAAAAGGGCCAGGTTTGAAGACCCCTGATCTCTGGTCTTGTAAATGTTGCCTTTCTGCAATTTCTACGAGTCGAAAGTCAAACTGTGGACCCGCTGAGGATTCTCTCTCAGTCTAGTGCTCTTTCCATTGAAACAGGGAGGAAAAAAGATGGGTGGGGGGGTCCATGGTGTTCTCTGCAGATGTTGGTTTTCTTGCAGATGTTTCATTAGCAATAGCGATAGCGCTTAAGACTTATATACCGCTCCATAGTTCTTCACAACCTTCTCGGAGCTGTTTATAAATGTCAGCATATTTTCCCCCAACAATCTGGGTCCTCATTTTACCGACCAGGGAAGGATGGAAGGCTGAGTCATCGAACTCCTGGCTGTGGGCAGAGTTAGCTTGCAGTACTGCATTCCAACCTCTGTGCCATCACAGCTCTTGCATCAGTGCCCTGATGGTGTTGCCTAGTTGGGTAGTAAAACGTCTGCAAGAAAACCACCATGATCAGAGAGCACCAAGGACCCCATAATCTTCCTCCTCCTCCATTCTGCAAACCCCACTTCCTTCTAGCACTGATGATGTTACCTAGTTGGGTCATGAAACGTCTGCAAGAAAACCACCAAGCTCAGAAAGCACCAAGGACCCCATAATCCTCTTCCTCCTCCTCCTCCTCCACTCTGCAAACCTCACTCCCTTCTAGCACTGATGATGTTATCTAGTTGGGTAGTGAAACATCTGCAAGAAAACCACCAAGCTCAGAAAGCACCAAGGACCCCATAATCCTCTTCCTCCTCCTCCTCCACTCTGCAAACCTCACTCCCTTCTAGCACTGATGATGTTACCTAGTTGGGTAGTGAAACATCTGCAAGAAAACCCACCAAGCTCGGGGAGCACCAGGCACCCCACAGTTCAACGCTGAGCTACAAATATTTTCTTCTATTAAAAAAACAAAAAAATCTTCCCAAACCAGAAAGACATACCCAATAATCAAAACAACGGCCAAATTTGACCCTCCGTTACAAGGTGACGTAAACTCACTTGAATGGTGCAGCCCAGGTGCATTTTGATGTCCAATCGTAACTTGCCCCACAACGGGCTGGAGGAAGGCAAGACTATCCTAAAAGAATTAAGGGAGAGAGGATTTAGAAGAAAATGGGTGATTTAGAGGCTGTCATTTTTCTAAGTAATGGGACGCGACTGAATTTCAACTGGGCTGGCTGCTGTTCAACCGGGGAAGCTTCTTGCCTACGACGGGATTCAAAATTCAAGGCAGAATGTAAAATCTGGAGAGCATCACACCACGCAGCAATTTCCATCCAGAGACCGTTCATTTATTATTTTACTCTGCACCCCACACAAACATGGGGAATGTATTTCCAGGCCTGCTGTTGTTCTGCCTTCACAACAGCCTGATTTTGCACAGGCGATCCTCGACTTACGACCAAGACAAGAATTGCCATTGCTAAGCAAGGGGGGGGGGGCTAAGCGAATCGTGCTAATTTTACAACCGTTTTTTTTTTTGCCAGAGTTGTTAAATGAATCACTGCAGTCATTAAATGAATCCAGCTTCCCCCACTGACTTTGCTTGTTGGAAGCTGGCTGGGGAAGTGGCAATTGGGGGGTCCCGGGGTTGGCAAGTGCCCCAATTTTGATCATTTGACCATGGGGATGTTGCTATTGTGATAAGTATGAGGACCTGTCAGTGGCATTGTTAAATTCAAACGGTCACTAAATGAATAGAGGTATAATAATAATAATAATAATAATAATAATAATAATAATAATAATAATAATAATAATAATAATAATAAAGTTGGAAGGGACCTTGGAGGTCATCTAGTCCAACCCCCTGCTCAGGCAGGAAACCCTATCCCATTTCAGACAAACGGCTGTCCAGTCTCTTTTTTAAAACTTCCAGTGTTGGAGCATTCACAGCTTCTGGAGGCGGGTTGTTCCACTGGTTAATTGTTCTAACTAGCTGTATCTGTTTTATGGAGCGGGAACTGAGTCTAGAGGACACTCAACTGGCTAGGCCTTATCAATACACAACTGAAATGGGCAATCCGTTGAATTTAGCCAATCTGAGATTGTGTTGGCCTTTTGGCTAGTTATTATCCCAGCCTGGCCCTTCTTGGCCAACGTCAGCTGGGAGCTGAGATCACGTGGAAAGCACAGCATATAAAAATACCTACCATTATCCAGACCCACCGAGGGCCCACGAGGCTACGCGGATCAGATAGCTGCAGATTGACCACCCACGTGCCAGCTAGAAAGGGATTAATTGTACCCTAACCAGCTGCTCGCCTTTGCTGTCCGAAGGGAAAGTTCAGCGCTGACCCTGTCAACTATCCAATTTCCTAGATTTAACTCTTTTGCAAATTAAGCCTTCAATTATTTTGGCTGGGGTTTTGGCAACAGTGGAAATACACCACCAGATGGAACGTACCCTTTGCTTCGACACCAAAAGCCATTTGGTTGTCCTGGGGATAAGATTAAACTTATTTTATGTCTCTGCCCAGGTTACTGAACGGTAAAATGAGTTAACAATCCACCAACCTGGCCATAAAAAGAACTCAAAAAATTAGCCAATTTAGCAGGTTGGGTCGATAAAAGGTGCCGAGGCTTGAAATAAACTACAGCCCAAAATTTCTTTTGCTAAGCGAAACAGCTGTTAGGAGAGTTTTGATCCATTTTAGGACCTGCTGATCCATTTTAACACTGCAGCTGTTAAATGAGTCACATGGTTGTTAAGTGACTCCGCGTTTCCCACTGACCTTGCTTCTAGGAAGGTTGCAAAAGGGGGTCATGTCCATGACCCCCGGGACACTGCACACCAACTGGCTTCTGATCTTGGGAAATGTCTGTTTATGCAAAAAATTTCTGCTTTGGCTTTCGTTCTAGAGCTGCATTTTATCAATGGAATGGAACTCACATTATATCATGATTACTTGGGAAGGATGATGGTTATGTGGTCCCAAACCAAGCGGAGGTTTTTTAGAATTTCAATCCTATTTTTGCAGTTTCGTTTGGACTGTTGTTTTAAGATTCTTGCGGTTCCCTCCTTCATTTCAAAAAGAACTATCTGACCAGCTTCGATTGCATAAACTAAACATTGTTTTGTTTTATTCACTGTTTATTTCAGAAGTTTTTCTTAGGTGAGGTGGGTGATGTAAACCTAGGACATGTGAATGAATAAAAAGATCCTTCGATTTTTAGGGCTTTAATATCTTTTTTTTTAAAGAAAACTGGACCCAGAATTATATTTTTCTAAATTAATAGTTAAAAACCTATTCTGCTCAGGATGGATTAAAAAAAAAAAGCCCATTAGGGATTGTAAGAATAGTCTTTTGCATGGTGGCAATTCCTAGACTGGAAGAATAAAAAGAAAATAAATGTCAATAAACCCCCCAAAATTAACTTACTTTGATTTATTTTTTGCAGGTTTCACCTGAAGCATTTTTTGCAGAAGAACAAAGAGGTCGCGGACGCAGAAGGAGACAAGGGTGTTGAAGACTAAGCAGGAGATGGAAAAATAGAAATGTTTCATCAATGACTTTAGTAATCACGAGATGACTCTTATTTATATACAGCACCATGGCTGGCTGGGGAATTCTGGGAGTTGAAGTCCCCCTGTCTTAAAGTTGCTGAGATTGAGAAATACTGATATACAGTAGTTCTTGACTCCCAACCATTCATTTAGTGACCGTTTGAAGTTGCAACAGCATTGAAAAAGTTGACGTATGGCTATTTTTCACACTTAGGACCGTTGCAGCGTCCCCAGGGTCACGTGATCAAAATTCTGATACTTGGCAACTGATTCATATTTATGGCGGTTGCACGGCCCCAGGGTTATGTGATCCCCTTTTGAGATCTTCTGACAAGCAAAGTCACTTAACAATCTTGTTAGCAACTTAACAACCACAGTGATTGTGGCAAGGTCACAAAATGGGGCAAAACATACTTAGCAACTATCCTGCTTAGCAACAGAAATGTCGGGCTCCCTTGGGGTAGTAATAATAATAATAAAGTTGGAAGGGACCTTGGAGGTCATCTAGTCCAACCCCCTGCTCAGGCAGGAAACCCTATACCATTTCAGACAAATGGCTGTCCAGTCTCTTCTTAAAAACTTCCAGTGTTGGAGCATTCACTGCTTCTGGAGGCAGGTTGTTCCACTGGTTAATTGTTCTAACTGTCAGGAAGTTTCTCCTTA